ATCTGAATTCACGAAGAGATGAACACTGATTTTCTAAAGATTTAAAACAATATATTTTCGGAGGACCTCATTGTTTTTATAATTGTCCTCTCTCCATGAATATATACACATAAATCTTTATTTCAGATTAGATTACATAAGCTTATATTATTGTAAATAACAGTACGCAATATTTGGTGGTAAATAGATGATAATAAAGCATCTTTAGGAACGATATTTTAACTATTATATTCACTGACATGTATCGAATTATTAAGCCCATGATAACCTTTCGAGACAAAAAAATCAATAAGATATGTAATCATTTGTTGATTTCCCCGCGGTAACACTGCAACCACTTTATTAATTAATGTCTAAAAAGATCAAGACATTGTCGTTTTTCTCATATTTCTAGAGACGATATCACCTTCAATGGGGTGATTAAGACCCTCATAACATAAGCTTATCATGGACAGATTCTTAGGGGTGGGAAAGGCATCACTATGTTTTACTAGATTTTCTCAATCCATCCAAATGTAGCGGAGCATGAATCGATAAGTTCATGCACTGTGAAAATTTTGATAGTTGTGAGTTAAGTTAACTCTTTTATGTGCTGTTTTGTCATCATGTTTTAAAACATTTCCACGTCCTATTTTTTCTTTGTAAAAACCACAGTTTGCTTCTATTAAATTTATCTGAAAATTGTAGGTCAAACTATCTAACTAGATGGCTTACCGAAACCGAAGGTTCATCACCGATTTAACCAAAGCCCTCCACCGGACCCTGTCTTGGGCCAACAAAATCCCATCTCCTTCAACTTTTATCCCCCATAGATCCCGCCAAAGATTATCCTCCCATCTACGTCTAGGTCTCCCCAGCGGTCTCTTCCCCTCAGGTTTCCCAACCAGTACCCGGTGCACACCTCTTGTCCCATCCATGCGAGCTACATGCCTCGCCCATCTCATTCTTCTCGACTTAATCACCCTGACAATATTGGGGGAGGAGAACATTTTTAAGCTCATCATTATGCAGTTTTATGCATGCCTCATCATTTTCTCTCCTAGGCCCAAATATCCTCCTCAACACCCTATTCTCAAACACCTGCAATCTATGTTCCTCCCTCGGAGTGAGTGACCATGTTTTGCACCCACAGAAAACTACAAGCAAAATTATTGTTTCGTATATTTTAATCATCAGGTTCTTATAAATCAGACGGGAAAACAAAATAAAGTAGATTCCGGTTAATTGGGCCATCGTTTAATCGGGGCAGCGGTTTATTTGGGGCAAATCTTAAAGAACAAACATTTTTAACTCTTTACGTGGAACTTCGCATACTTAGGACAGCCGCTTAATTGGGCCAAAGGTCCCGATGTGTCCCAATTAACCAGAATCCACTGTATTTTGAACTGAGATGTAGCAAGCATTTTCAGAATTTAGTCTCCTCCTAACTGCCTCATGAATATAATTCTGATTTGGTCTTGTTGTTATCATACATTTGAACTTTGTCAATTGTAGGTCAGTTTTATTAATCTTTAATTTGGTGGCAAGTAGGCGAAAAGATTATATAATATGACGAAAATAATTTACAAAAAAATATCCGGCTCACTCACTCTTTGGTGCAGGATATTCTTTAAAACGTCACTTGTAAACTCGGGCTTGTCAAAGAATAGGCAATTTTCTTTATGAAACCTGAAGGTTCATCACCGTGTTCGCAAAAGCCAACGCCCCTACTAGTCATTAAAAGTATTTCTGTGTTCGCTTTTACAGTATATTATCGCCCAACAGATTAATATCATCAGCATTGACCAAAACCTGATGTATGCTTCTGAATTCCAAACAGAACTGATATTCTTGGATTTTCTTAATGGCATATTTTAAGACAAAATGAAAAGCAGCGGCGATGGATCATCACCCTGTTTCAGGCTATTCTGAATAGGAAATGTGTTGGAGAAACATTTATCCGTACGAATTTTACTACAGGTTTCACTTAAACAGCTTTTAATTCGTCTGACTAGCTTCTTAGGTACACGAAATTCGGAAGTAGGCCATGATCCCCTGAATGAGAATAAGCTCAAAGGAATTGTCTTAGAGGGATTATATTTTATTTAACTTACTTTAATTTCATGCTTTGTGCCAATTGTCCCTAAAATGTCTTCTATAAACCTCAAAATGCGGTATGTAGGCAAAACAATCAATGACAGCAACTCATCTGATTGCGAGTGCTGCCACCTTCAATGCGATTGAGACTAAGTGTGACCAACATCAACTTCTGTTTCTGGCAGATTTAGTGTCTATTATGGCTGAATTACTCTTGGCAAAACTTCTAATATCAGATAACGTTATAGGCATAAAATATGTACTTTTAAATCTGGTATTTATAATTCCAAATTTCCAATTGCTCCTTACAGCATTACTATCCTAGAACCTATGTTGGTATTAAACTATGCAACGAACTGTTGGTATTATCTCTGGAATTGTAGGCTGGCAATTGCAAATGGTGGCTGTTAATACTTTTAGCAGCACGTGGTTAGGTCGCTTACAATAATTTGTCACCTTTCGCAGAGCTTTAAATATGGTCTCTAAGAGGAAGAAGAAGGTATAGAATGCTATAATTTATGACTATGATCACTGTGAAATGTTATTTTATTGTGCTGAATTGGAAAAGTGATTGTTTTAAGTTAACCTTACATGTATTATTTCACAATGTTTATTATTGTTGCTTTACTGCATAAATGTTTATTATTTGCAGTATGAGTCTGGGGAAGGCAACAGATATGTGTCAAGAAAGACAGCCCTAAAGATGTTGCAGTTATCACTCAAGGATTTTCGGAAGTTATGCATATTGAAAGGAATATATCCGAGGGAACCACGTAATAGAAAAAGAGCCCAAAAGGGTGCACCTGGAATCAAAACATTGTATCATTTAAAGGATATTCAGTTCTTAATGCATGAACCCATCATATGGAAACTTAGGGACTATAAGGTATGTCATAGTTCCCATAAAGCTAACTTGGTTGCTTGAGATTAGTTGGTTACTGATCTGCTTGGATGTTTCATTGTAGTGTCATATCAGAGAGTTTGTTGTTACTGGTGCTTCCATGTTTAATGCCCACCTGTAAATGCTGATCTTAGTCTACCTAAGATATTTCTACAGCAGTGTCATATGTGCTAAGAAATGTAAAAAGCTGGTGCTAGTGTTGTGTATTTACTTACTTGTTGACCATGGTAGTTTTATTTTAAACTGTATCATGTTAACTTTCAACTCAGTTATTAAGATCAGACCACCAAGGTGCCCATGCATGTACTTGTTGGTATGATGTCATACTGTTCATTGATGATGGCCTCATAGGCTGAGATGTGTTTATGATTTTAATTTTGTAATCTGTTGTAATAATCACCAGTCTGTGATAAAAGGTAGTTGGTATATAGCTTTGTTCATTAATTTAGCTGGTGTAGGATAGAGTGCAGTGATGGACTTTGTTTGTGAACTTTTGAATCCATTACAGATGCTAATTTCTTACCAATTGAATGCAGGGCTGTGGAATCGAAAGTAATTTTAGGTGGAGTTGCTGTCAGTAAAAATGCACCGACTCCAACTCTAGCCTCGATATAAAATCTTAAGAAAATACTATTTTAACACTTTCACTACCGTGTGAGCTGCTGGCAGCCTCATACTTAGGGAGATTCAATGACGCGTTGAGCCACATGGTGTGGGAATAATGCTTTGTAACTTTGGCTCCTATATCTTAAGAATACAAACTGTGTACAAATCAACCAATTTCTGCAATAACCATTAGACTTATATTTAAATATAGGTTATAAGTCTAAAAAGTAGCCTGATGATTCACGTGGTGGTGATGAAATCTCTTATGGTGCCATTTACCATTTTAGCAGGTTTACCATTATTAATACATATTGAGCTTTTATGAAAGAGTCGTAGCTGGAGTTAGATGTTTTGGTACTGACTCCACAGCCCTGGTTGAATGAATATCAAGTGCTCTAGGAAGACCATATACCATTGAGTTACATGCTTTTACAGTACTTCTACAGCATGTTTGAATTTGTTTACATTCTGCAATAAGAGTAGTCATTCATACCGCTACCATAAGAATCTACTTAGTAATTTTTATGTGTGTTGGTTTTCACAGCTGGTGTTTTAGGTGAAAGCCAAAGTTATACAGTAGTAATTTTATTGTCTATGTTTCCTAATATAATTATATTTACAGATTTTTGCAAAGAAAATGGGGAAAGCGAGAGCATTGCGAGACTTTGAGGCCATAAAACGGTACCTAGAAAATCGTCCACATGTTACATTGGATCACATAGTGAAAGAAAGATATCCATCCTTTGTTGATGCTATACGTGACTTGGATGATTGTCTCTCACTATTATTTATGTTCTCAACATTCCCTTCATTGCAACATGTACCTCGTGATCAGTCAGCACTGTGTCGACGTCTTACTATTGAATTTCTTCATGCTGTTATTGCATCACAGGCACTTAGAAATGTCTTTGTATCCATCAAAGGCTACTACTTCCAAGCTGAAATAAAAGGACAGAAAGTCACATGGATTGTGCCACACCACTTCTGTTTTGCGGTAATTATTAATTTAATGTAATTCTTACCAACCACCAGAACTACAGGTAGCCCTCGATTTACGCCGGGGATGTGTTCCTGGATGAACCGGCGTAAACAGAATCAGCATAAATTGAAACTCTTTTATACTCTTTTATAACGTAAATCAATGGGAAGTCAATGACATGCGTTCCTAGCACCCAAACATTGATGAGTAATATAGTGGCATTACATTTAAAGCTCTGAAATAACGTAAATAAAATAAAGGGAATTTGAAAAATATATTTTATACACTTACAATTGGCAATTCGTTGGTCCCCGCGATTGACTGCGATTCTTTCATGTGACTGATGTGTACAGTCATCTCTTCTGTTATCCGATAGTTGCATTCATGTAAGACGCCGACCTGTAGAAAATCGCGTAGTAAAAATAACCCCGGTACCTCCGCAGAGATTAAATTAGTCCTTTGAAAGTTTAAAGGGCCAGGAATGAAATTGCATAAGAGCAAACTTGCATATACAAAAGTTTGCATTTCACAAACAGCTTTTTACCAATTCATTGATCTCATTGGATCAATTTCACGTTTACGAAACATACGTAATTACAGAGATGACTGTATTTATAATTTTTATTCAAAATCAGTGATGTAAGAATTACGATTTAGTATAAGAATCAGTACGAGATACATTGTAAAAGTTATGTTTTTGTTTGTTTGTTTGTCATCAGTCTTTCGACTGGTTTGATGTGGTCCTCCATTTTCAGCTATCTTGCGCCAATCTCTTCATTTCTACATATTTTTTTGCAGACTACATCCTCAAAAATCTGCATCACATATTCCAATCTTTGTCTCCCCCTAAAATTCTTCCCTTCAGCTGTTCCTTCCATTACCAAATTAACCAATCCTGAGTGCCTCAGAATATGTCCCACCATCCTATCTCTTCTTCTCCTAAGATTTTTCCATAGACTTCTTCGTTCGCCCATCCTGTCTAAGACCAGATCATTTTGTACTTTACCAGCCCACTTCATTTTCAACATCCTTCTATAGCACCAAATTTCAAATGCTTCTATCCTTCTTCTTTCTGGCTTTCCCACTGACCATGTTTTGCTGCCTTATAGCGCTGTGCTCCAAACATATAACTTCAGAAAAATCTTTCTTAATTCCAGGTCAATGTTTGACACTAGTAGACTTCTTTTTTTGAAGAAGGCTCTTTTTGCTTGTGCTAATCTGCTTTTAATGTCTTCCTTGCTTCGCCCATCTTTTGTGATTTTGCTTCCTTAAAGCGTTATAAATAATAGTAAAATATATTTTTTTCACTTTTTGACTTGCTGGTTTCAAGATCGGCGTTATTCTGAATTGGTGCAAATCAAGGGCTACCTGTATTTACATATTTACCTTTCTCTGATTTACAAGTTTGATTGGATCACATTATAATTTCCTTTGTCATTCAAAGTGAATACAGAATTTTTTTTTCAGTTTATATATATTCACATATTGGTTGTGATTAAAAATATTTTTGTTAGTAGCACTTGAGTTTTTGTTATGTAATGTGAATCATTATAGGAAACAGTACAGATGAACAATCCTGCAGGAATTTTTGGTCATAAATATATATAATCGTTCCTGTATGGGTAATGCGTTTAACAAGCATAGAAATTTAGGAAGTGGTCATGAAATCTTTTGAAGTGGGAGAACTGGCATTATTTGTCATCTCTCTCTCTTTGTTTGGTAATAAGTATTTACAAAGTAAGCAAATTTTGTGATAGCCATATTTTTGTAAAATGTATAATACCATAGAGGCACATGAGATTACCATTTTCCTTTCAGTTTGATAGCAGTAACTATTTTAACTATGCGTGTGAAATTTACTATGAAGATAGGTCACAAACATACCTACATATATTGTATACTCTTTCCTATATGTTAATAAATGTTAACATTATAATTGTGCAAAAGTTTAATGGTACATCTGATACATGTTTGGCAGTTATGGAAAGTATGGACAAATGGATGTAAGAATTCAGTTTTAAATTTATCTTTGCTATTGAACCACAGAATTAAGCAAAGTTATGTCATATCAGGCTTATTTCAGGTTTGAAATCTTTATTTATTATGCAGTAAATTATTAATTTAGTTTTAGCTTGTATATTCATATTTCACTTTGTTTCTCTATGAAGCCATTGATTTTGTGTGTGCGCGCACACGCACATGCACGAGAGTTATATTTCGTATACTTTTATTTTGCTTCCCTGATATGAGATTGTAGTATAATTCTGAAAGTAGTATTTTGCAACTCCTCATGTTCTTCACTGTTGTGTGGTGTGATTTAAATTATTTTTAGGGGCACGTCGCTGTCCATTGATATTTTGTCTTGTAGGTCGAATTGAACTTCCATACAGTAGTCAGTAGATTTGCTAACTGTTTTGTTTTCCTTCTATTTTATATTCGCTATGTATTTCCTGTAATCTTCAAACAGAAGTATGAAGAATATTAACCCGAATGCAGTTACAACCTACACTAATATGTAGCTTATTGTTGGACTTATTTATAATTCTTTATTTTCTTTGTTTGTAGCCTCAATCTACAATGGAAGTAGATTTCCGAATCATGTCAACATTTGTGCAGTTCTATAGTGTGTTGCTGGGATTTGTAAATTTTCGACTCTATCACTTACTAAATCTTCACTATCCACCAACATTTGCAGTATTGTCAGGTAATATTTAAACTGATGACATGCTCTCTCTCTTTCTCTTTTTTTCCCTAGAACAAATCTGAGATATTATGAATTTTGAGGTATTATTTATTTACATCATTAACTCAGACTGTGTATGATGTTTAGTGAATGAAGAATGAGAAGGATGTGGGAGGAAGCAGTCATGGCCTATTTTAAGGTAGAATCCCAACATTTGCCTGGAGGGAATAAGGAAAACCTTGAGAAATCTCATTGAGGACAATCTGTCTGGGCTAAGATTTAAGCCTGGAATCTCTAATTGTGAAGCAGAAGCACTAACTGCTCAACTTCGACATTAATTATTTGATATGTTAAATGAATAAGTGAAGTTTTGTTGAGATCCATGAGCAACATTTTTATAAATGTGATTTATAAGCTATTTTGGTTAAGAGCGTATAATTTAAGTGTAACATATGAATTTAGTTTTAAGAACATATTTTATATTTTTGTGTAAAGTTTCAGTCAAGCACAGTTAAATTTTGGTATATATAGTTTATTTGTTCATATACAGTCAGCATATTCCTGTTATGGCTTCAACACTACTCATTAATTGATATTAAAATGTTAGAATGTAGAAAGGCTTCATATATTTTAATTAGTGTATGCCTTTGAATATTTATTTTTAACTTTGAAGTCAGGGCAGTTTGGTATAAGAAACAACATTGTAAACACATACAGTGTACAAGTGCATGCACATTTGACAGAAGGTGTTAGAAATCACATGCAGACATCCATACTCTTCAGATTACAGTGAAATTACAATTATAACAAGAAGTCAAAACTGTATACTGTTCAATAATATGGCCTCACTCTTGACACACAGTAAAAGAGTGTTATATATATATAATCACTTATTTAAAGTCTGTTGCAGTATAGCACAAAATTATCAGAAAGAAATTTAAATTCAACACTGTCTGAAGTGATGTTTCATCCTCTTTAATAGCTGCAATTTTTTTCTGATAATATTATGTATTTATTCCTTAATGTAAAGTAGTCTAAATGAAAATTGAAGGCTAGTACAGTCTTGTGCCACTATTTTAGGATATCCCCATAGATCATTACCACATTGTTTTGTTACTGACAATGTTCGGCTTTATTGATCTGTTGTGTAATACTTACTTCTGTCAAGAATTTATTGTCAGAATGCATTTGTTTACATATCTGAAAATTTAGTGTTAAAATTTTCAAACACTTGATCTGTACAAGTACATGACTGAATTTGTAGTGCTGTATGTTTTATTTATTTCAGCTGATGCCACAGAGAAGACTTTGGTTGATGAAGAAGCTTTTGTATCCGAGCGTGTTGCAGCACTCAATGTACCACTCTTTTGTACTGGTCCTACTGTAGAGGAAGAAGTAGAAATGGACCAATTCCCAATGGTGAAAATATTCTCTTTGCTCTTATTGTTATGTAATGGGCTCTTGGATAAACAAGGCTATATCAGTAGCAGAGTGTTAATGTCAGCCATATTAGCCTGGCTAACATATATTGATTATAAAATAAACCTTCCACATGAATAAATTTTACAGTAATACAACCCGTGTTACTGGATATATCAATATAATCGAGACATGTTTTAATTTGTTTTTCAAGATATTGTGTACAAATTTCTGGATAGAGTAGAGTCAGTTTTCTGAGAGATGGTAGGAGTGACAGAGAAACTTTCAGTGATATAAGACAGAATATTATAAACTAAATAAAATTACTAAACAATAAGGAGATAATCAAAATAATTGTGGCTTGTAACATTGTGGGTAATAATCATGAAATAAGGTTGTGTGCAGTATAAAAACTGAGTTGATTACAACATTGCTTAATTATTTATATTTTAATTAACCGGTGTTGTTTTTGTGCAATAAATGGAGCAGGCTACATAAATTGGTTATTAACAAATATGGCAAACAGCCATTTTTTTCCTTCTGACAATGTGACTTATGAAACATGTCTTCATTAAATTACCAGTTAAGTGTTTTAAACCCCAGCAGTTTTATTGTAGATAGGAAGATATTCCTTTATTTTACAGAGGCTCTATTTAAAAACTGAGAACTTAGAGTTTATGTTCATATCTCACGAGAATGATAGACAATGTAAAGGCAGCTTGTAAATCTTTAAAAAATATGGCCTTGCAATGATGAAACAAGTTTAAATTGCATTTACAGAGAAATTAAGAGCAGATTTAATTTGAGGTATGTTTGTTACCTTGTTGTTATGAGTCTTTTGTCTTCCATTCTACTGTCTAAAAACATAAGAGGTTGAAATATATAAAACTGCAATTCTACCCATGGTTTTGTATGGGTGTGAAATTCAGTTCATCACATTAATGTTCTTACATTGACTCACAGTGTATGAGAACAGGATTCTGAGAAGAATATTTGGACCTAAGAGGGAGGAAGTGACTGGAAGTTGGAGAAAATTATATAAAGAGAAACTTATTAACTTACTCTTTTAATGCATATTACAAGGAGAATCAGACGCAGGAGGATGTGATGTATAAGTCTCGTAGCACATGTGGGAGAGATGAAAATTGCATACAAAATTGAAGGGAACAAAAGAGATGATTTCAAAGACCTGTGCATATAATATTCAGATGGATCTTAAACATATGGGCATTGGTACTAAACGTGCATCTGTTATTGTGATTAATGCCATTTACTGGATTTCTGTTAATGAATGCCATATATTTTAATGAAATGGGCAAATTAGTATACATTTATTTTAGGGATCAAGCAGTATAATCAGAAAATGCCATGTGTATACTGTTTATAAAGTATACCTACTCCACAGCACTACAGCCCTTTTGTAGGGCCTTGGCCACCTTTATAAACTATACCAGTAGCTTAAAAGTACCATATGGAGACAGTTTGCATGTGCGCAAGCTTGTACAGGTAGAATTGTTAGTAAAAGGATTATTAATTAGTTTTATGTTGATGCTGTTGTCTTCAGATTACTTCTGTCAGCATTGGACCCTTATTTCAAGGTCTAATAAAGAAAATGTTTGACAGATTTACTTTACTTTTTAGTGTAACAACCTGATTGTAAAAATCAGATATGAAATTTATATCACATAGCATGAAAATTTGCTAGGCTGCGAAAACAGAGCTCTGGTAACGGTGGCACTTTCAAACATGTGAATTATAGTAAAGGTAAAGTTCTGTTCTTATGAAAGCTTCACTTAAGTGTGGTTACTAATTGTATATTTAATATTTATATTTTTCATACTGTAGTTAATAGAAATTAACAGATACTTTGTATATTATATGCATTTATGAGCCTGAATATATTATATAGGGTGAATCAAAAGGTTTGGGCCAAACTGAAGGAGCGTATAGAGGGACTAAGAGCGAACAACTTTCGAATAGGAATCCATGTCCTCCGAAGTTATCCTGAGTCAGTCGAGGCCATTGAAGGTAGGGAAGTCTGATAACATACCGCTGAAATAATCGTACTTTGCTATTCTCCTACTGGCTTAATTTTAAATCGCACTTTATCCCGGGCGTTGGATAGGGAGAGGAGGCCAGACCACTCCCCAGACTTGACACCTCTCGATTATTACTTTTGGGGGCATGTCAAGAGCATCGTTTACGAGACACCCGTGTAACGGTGGACGACCCAGAACAACTTTTTGCCAGAATACTTGCTGCATCTGACGTGGTCTGTGAGACTTCTGGGGTATTTGAAAGGGTGCGCCAGAGTTTCGTTCACCGATGCAATGCCTGCATTGAATGTGGAGGACGCCACATTGAACACCTGTTGTAAATTTGGTTTGTAAGATTGCTAATGTTATCCTTGTACATTAATAAAAAACAAAATTAAGCTAGCAGGAGAATAGCAAAGTACGATTATTTCAGCGGTATGTTATCAGACTTCCCTACCTTCAATGGCCTCGACTTTCTCAGGATAATTTCGGAGGACATGGATTCCTATTCGAAAGTTCTTCTCTCTGAGTCCCTCTATACACTCCTTCAGTTTGGCACTAACCTTTTGAATCACCCTGTATATGTGCATTATGTATAAGTGAGCTGCTGTATAATATGAATGTTTTTTTGTTTTGTTTTTCTCATTGAAGATTGAAGATCAGACAAAACTGGAAGAAGTGAAACAGGAAGCAGAAAAAGTAAAGAAACAGAAGACTCTCTTCAAAGGATTGAAGTTCTTCATAAATCGGGAAGTTCCTCGTGAGCCAGTTGTGTTTACAATTCGGTGTTTTGGTGGTGAGGTTTCGTGGGATAAACTGCTGTTTGTTGGAGCCGCTTTTGATGAGTCTGATGAGAGTATAACACACCAAATTGTGGACAGACCACACATGGGAAAACAGTACATTTCTAGGTAAAAGATTGTCAACAATTGTTGGTCATTAGGAGTTGATATTCAGTCGTTTTTTTTATTGAGTGTACTAAGTTTAGGTGGAAGTTTGTCCCTAAGAGGACAAGTAACCTTTGCTTAACACAAAGTATTTTATAAATGAAAAAGTAGCTAATTCATTGTTTGTTATATGTGACTATCATAACAGTGATGCAGTTTATTGCAGCATTTACCTTTGCAAATCACATTTAAAATACAAAATGTTCACAGTTTCTTTATTAAGCAAATTGAATATAAAACACCTTTACAGTGACTCAAGCCAGATGGCTGCCAAATGCACCAACACAAAATCAACTGCTAGAGTTTTGCCAAATACAGGCTTTGTCGGATCCCACCATAGGCACCACAACAGCCACATTTTTATTTCCTGCTTCTACAGTTGCCACTGTCAGAACTTAAGTCCAATTTTTTCTGCATTCCACACAATTGGTGGATTTGTACTTTACATATCTGAGTTTATAAAAACTGAAAAATGAGGATTAGAATCTTTGAAATTTGCTGAACATTGTTTTAAATGTATTTGGCAACATTTAATATCTTTCAAGCGTGTTTGCTACTAGGTTTAGATATCTGGGGAGTGTAGAATGACTCGGACTGAATCTTTTTTGGCCTTTGTATGAGAAGATGTGATACATTCATCTGGTATCAAGTAGCAGACATAAATTTTAGCATTCAGTTGTTTTAGTATTAGTACTGAAGATGGCAGTGGAGCAGTTGAATGTGCATCAGCTGCACTGTTGGTTCATGAAGTCTTCTCACATCGAGGGAAAATCCAGTGATTAAATTCACTGACAGCTGTTTGCGGTATTCAGTGAGAACACGCTCGTAGTTTAGGGTGGTGGAATGGCATGAGCATTTTGGGGAAAGTTGGGAGTTAATTTGTGATGATGTGTGCATCACATTCCTGTCACTGTTGGGAACATTTGACATCTGTATCCTAGCAGACAGATCTCTATGCATGAAGTGGCTGAGCAAATGGACGTGTCTGTTGAAATAATCATTCACGAGTACCTCATGTTCAAGACAATGTCTGTCAGATGTGCTCCAGAACAACTGAATATGGACCAAAACTGCAGATGTGCAGCACCATTAGGGGAAAAAGAGCCTTAATTTTTTTATTTATTTTTAATTGAACAGTGGCTTGTGAAGAAACCTGAAATACCATGTCTACACTCTAAAAGCAAAAGGTTACTTCAACAATGGAAGCACTTAAATGTACCTAACTGTGAACAATGTAAGGCCAACTTTCTGCAGATGTCATGGTCTTATCTCAGATACTCTTGGGGTCATCCATGTCCGTAGGTCAGTTTCCTGCTAAATGTTATCCCACTCTGTGACAAGAATGTTTGTAATAATCCATTTGTTACATAAAGAAACAGATTTTTTGATGAAATAGGCTGGGAATTCTTTTAGCCTCTTGCGTGCCGTACTTGCCTCCCAGTGATTTCCATTGCCAAAGGAGTTGATGGTAGATTGGACGTGGTCAATGACTGCAGCAACACATGTCATTTCCTGTGATGTCCTTGAAATTAATAATGGATAAAATATGTGGAATTGAAATGTGATTAAAGAAGTAGAGGTTTGAAGACTTGTAACATGTTCATAATGTTCTTATGCCCTGGTACGGTATGCTCCTTGTATCTTGAAGCCAGCTGTAGACTTCTTTCACTGTAGTGCTGTTAATATAGCAGAGAATTATTTTAATGTTGACCATTTCTAAGTAACAAAGGCGAGAATAACTAAAGCCCAGTGAATGCCTTTACTGAGTTTTCTCATTTTTTGCTTTCTGTGCCTAAATTACATGGGTCTTGTAGCCTCAGAAATGAAAATAGTCTTTCATATATTGAAATTCAGTCACTGTAGGATAGTTTTAACTTTATTATGTCATGTTTATGAAAGCAAAAATGTGTGCCTGTGATTAAATAGACAAATATGATGTCCCACAGAGGAGATTGAGAAGAAGACTGTTCCCTGCTTATATACAAAAGGATTTATATAGATGCCAGTATTTTATTATATTCTGTATATTGCAGGTACTACGTTCAACCACAATGGATATTTGATTCTGTAAATGCATGTGAACTTCTGCCTGTTGAGAAGTATTTCCTTGGAGCAGTGTTGCCACCACATCTTTCACCATTTATAGATAAAACAAGACAACTGTACGTTACACCAGAGGAAAGAGCACTTGAGGATCCATCATTAGCAGAAATTAACCCAGGTTGGTGTTTGCTTCTAGAAGTTTGATTTTTTAAGGTAGTCTGTATGGGTGCGAAACATGATCTCTCAATCAGAGGGAGGAACACAGGTTGCAGGTGTTTGAAAATAGGGTGTTGAAGAGGATATTTGGGCCTAGGAGAGAAGCTGATGGGGCATGGAGAAAACTACATAATGACGAACTTAAAAATTTATACTCTTCCCCCAATATTGTCAGGGTGATTAAGTCGAGAAGAATGAGATAGCGGGGCATGTAGCATGCATGGATGGGACAAGAGGTGTGCACTGGGTATTGGTTGGGAAGTCTGAGGAGAAGAGACCGCTGGGGAGACCTAGACGTAGATGGGAGGATAATGTCAGGCGGGATCTATGGGAGATAGGAGTTGGAGGCTGGATTTTGTTGGCCCATGATAGTGTCTGGCAGTGGGCTTAGGTTAGTTCGGTGATGAACCTCTGGGTTCAGTAAGCCATGTAATTAATTAGTCTGTAAGGGGTACTCAAAATGTGTGTAACTGTCTGTAGTGTGTGATCAAATGCCCATTATGAAGTGTAATTCTGCGGTGAATGGAATCATAGTCTGCAGTCATTTGATATCTGCTATGTATCTGTAATGGCAGATTTCACCCTATAAACACCAAATATCATGGTAGCAGTTGGCTCTCTTACATGTTCAGGATATCTAGGTATGGTATTTGTTCTGGAGGCCAGCTGTCCTGGCAAGTTTTTTGTGGTTTTATTCAGTCTTATGAGGTAAGTGCACTGAAATAAGCTGTGACCAGTTACTTTAAAATTCTTTACAGTTCATCATTGCTATAGAACCTACACAGCTGACAAACATTTGTAAAACACACGAGGAAACCAGCAATAAACTACTGTAGAATCGTGTGGCTTTTTGTTGATTTGATTTTACGTATTTGAAGCTGAAGTTTAATTCTTTTGTTTCAGAAGATGAAGAGGAATCAGAGGATGAGGAGAGTGAAAAGAAAGATGAAGAAGGTGAGAGTGAGGAAGAAGTTTTGAGAGATGATGAGGAATCAGAAAAGGCAAATGAAACTGAACTTAACAAAAAAGATGAAATCATGGAGAAAAAGGTTAGTATAGTGTGTACAGTTCTTCTTTTGCCTCTTTAGAATTCATTCTTTAAACATATAAGAATATTAGTCTTAAACACAAGTACTAGTTATTAGGAGTGTTATGTTTTGGCATATTGCCATCATCAGATTAATTTTCAATTCATTTATTTAAAACAGGTAAAGCTTTTCCTCCATATATGATTTCAGATAATTGTTGGAAAATTAAGATTTGAAAGCAATTAAAATTGGATGATATTTATAAGTCAGAAAATTGATTGTTGTGTTCAAAATGGACTAATATTCTTACACATTAGTGGAACCTGTGGGCAACTGCCCTTTTATTTAAAAATAACATTAAACTTGAAACTTCCCAGGTTAAGTTAGGGAGAGAGGCTTTATAGAATCAGGTAAAAAACTGAGATTTGACGTTCTCACAGCGCACAGCAATGCAGATGTCAGTGTTGTTCTTGTGGGTTGTGACATCATATTGACTCATATGTAGATACTAGTGTTTTGGAGAAACATACTGTCTCTATCTTCAGGACTGAAGTGAGGGTACCAACCAACCAACCAACCAAAAAGTTTACTAAGTGTAGAGTCCTGCGCAAGCGCGAGACCTAGTCCCTTGCTAGGTATCACCATTGCTGTGTATGAAACGCATTGCTGGAAATTGTAAACATTGCCTTACAACTAAAACGTGGGTTTGATTATGCTGGAAAGCCTTGACTATTCAAACTGGGGTCTGCTGTTGCTGATGAGAGGTTATCCTGCCAGACAACTTGTCCTTTGTGAAAAGGATTTTGGTTGGATGAAGTGAGGGTAGTGGGAAGTGGACAGCTTATATAGGGTTAAAAGGAGGATCTAGGGGGTTGGGGGGAGATGATCTGAGCCATCCCTCATGCAGGGAAACTGAGAAGAGGGCTGGGTCAGGAAAGAGGAATAGAGAAGGAACTGACCCTTTTTTGTAGTAAATCAGAGTGTTGACTAAAGGTGAAGTTCAGAACAAGGCCAGGGGATTGGGAGGAGATAAGAGATGCAGGGCCCATACCAGGAATTAGAGAGGAAGGTTAGGATAGGAAAAGAGGTACCGAATGTCCATTTTACCTGTAAAGAAACCATTAACTTCCACACATGACAGTAATAACTGTGCATGCCGACATACACTGAAGAATATAGTTTGTAATGACGTCTATTCAGCCAGACATAGGAGATGGTGGTTTTATGGCAATGATGCAAAACTAAATCCCATAACAGCATTACCATAGTGACAGTTTTATGGTTAGTCATGCATAACATGCACATATAGTCAGTCAATCATAAAGCATATCCTTTCTTGTACATGATGTCCAGTGACATTATATCACTACTTCAGGTTTTTATTTCTGAGGTCATCCAATCAGAAATTTTATATGAATATGGGTCTGATTCTGAACGGTTATGGAGGTATGGGAAACCAGTCTATTGGTTATGGAACTGCTCTTTCAGATACTGCATGATATTCCTATCAAAATGTGGTAGTACATCTGCAATTATGTTAGCAGAATGCCTTCGGAATATTAGCGTAGTACAACTTTTTCAGTCTGTTGTATTTTTAGCATGTTGACAGTCATGAATAATTTGTGCAGTTGAGTAATGTTAAAATCCATGAGCCAACTAATTTAGTCCTGGTGGTAATTTTAAAATAAAAGACAGTATCTTGTTTGAAACATTTAAACACTTATAATATGAATTTATTTTTTCTTGCAGAAGAAACAAATGTCTGTGAGCATGGGAATTGTTGCTCGGGAAGACCCAACTGAGAAAAGACACCAAGAGAGGCAGGAGCACAAGTTAAGAGAGAAAATGATTAAGAAGAAACATAGGAACCTGTATCGAAGCATGATGAAAGGCAGAGCAGA